GAACAGCCCAGGAGCGCTCAGAGGTGGCTCCGGGCAGTGCTGCAAGAGCCCAGCGGTTCACGAGAGAAAAAGCGAGGTATTTTCAGGGATCCCAAAGGCTTCGTGCGACGAAGGGCCTTCGCACGGGCCCTACTTGTGCGTGGGACTCCGGCAGGCACCGACTCTGCCGGGAGCTCCGCATCTGCAGGATCAAACGGGTGACGCTGCCCCTCGCAACTCCCGACCTCAGCACAGCACAAGGGAGAGGGGCTCCCCCGGCCCTGCGGTACCGCCGCCCCGCCTCTTTTTCCAAGCAGCCTTGAAAGACAAAAGCAATCCCTGCGTGCTCGGCCGCTGCCCTCTCCGGCCCCTTCTGCTGCGAAACCGGTGGGAGGGAAAACAAATGGAATGAACTCTCCACCCGAGCACAACCGACAGACACCACTTCGAAGTCCGAAGCCCCTGACCGAGGGGCTCAGGAAAGGTGCAACAAAAATACCTCACGTGAAGGCTTTGTAAAAGCCAGAAGGGCAGATGTACACTACGGCTGTGCCTCCCAAGGAGCCGGGGGGCAGGCGGGCACTCGGTCTCCTCTGCCACTCTCCGCTCGGGCCAAAGACCCCGAAGGGACGAGACCACCGGTGCGACAGGAGCTCGGTCTTGAATGCTGCCTGGAGGCTTCGGCACTTTCCGCAGCTGAAGGCGCTGCCAGATCCAAGCCTGTCATTACTGCAGGCCCCTCGGAGTGCCGGAAAAGTGCAGAGCTAATGCATAGTTATAAAGCTGATACTGAGAAACATCCCAGGGGTAATTAATCTCACTAGAGCAATTAGTGAAGCTACACTGGTTCAGCCCAGAGGTCCATCTAAGCTCCGTCTCCAGCCACGGATACAGACAGGCGGGCTGGGGCAGGGTGGGGACAGGGTAATCACGACCCCCGGGTTCCTCCCAGGTCCCGGAGCCCAGGAATGAAAACACCCCTTCCAAAAAAACGGCTTTTCCCCCCCGTTTGATTTGGTCCAACAAAATTGTGCTTCAGAGAGCAGAAAAAGCATCAACAGCCGTGGCTGTTTGCAGCCATCCACTGAAGATGCTTTGTCTCCTCACCTATCTACAGGAATATGCTTTAAAACCCGTTTCATTTAACCTTTTCTTCTCCAAATTACGCTCACTCTGTAGCCAGGCATTGGTACAGAGTAGGAGCAACTGCTCAGGGTGGTCACAGATAAGGGACGATGGCGTTCTGTCCGAACAATTTCTTTGGAAAAATCTCTTCAAAATTTCTTTCAGTACCGCTGGCTTTTAGAACTGCTCAGTTCTCAACCAGTTAATGCTCTCAGGGGAACGCTGAACCTCCCGTTCCCAAAGGGAACTTCATCACGGTTCATCATTCAGTGTGACTTGGAAGCTCAAAGCAAAAAAAGGACGGAGCATTTCACCAACTCCGAGGAGACACTGGGAGAACAAAGCTCTCAAAGCAGGTGGGCTGGGAGCGGCCCTGGCCTCAACGGGGTGGGGACACTCCTCGGTACCGTGACCCGTAGCCTGGAGTGCACGTACTGCACCGGTGGAACTAACAGGGGCTCTGGCCCCTAATCCCCCCCGAGTTAATCCACGCCTGACGTCTCTGAGCTGCACCATACCTCTAACGCCCTCATCTCCATTCCTAATTTCACCGTGTCAACCTCAGCACCTCATGTGAAGAACCTGAATAAGTGAGACCGCTCTCCCACCACGTCACACAGGGTGCTGGGAGGAGGCTACTCCAGAGCTCAAGCCTCCAGTTCAAACCTCCTACTTTCATGTCCACGCATTACCAGCTCCAGTCCCGTTACGCCATTGCCGTCAATAAACGCCATCGTGAAGAGCTGGCGTCCAAGCCACAGGGCAGCTTACAGCTCAGAGCTGCCGCTGGCGAGGAGGCGTGGAGGACACTGGCTACCAGGAAGGAGCTTCCCACCTGCGCTGGATTCTGCGCCTTCGCCCACAGGGCACAGGCGCTCAACCACGAGTGTTCGGTCGTAATGGCAATGCTGTTCTCCATGATTCAACGCACAGTCCAGTCCTTGAGGTCAGGGGTTTCTGGGTGACGCTTGGTACAGCTGTTACATGAGTTTCACCACAGAGTCTGAACAGGAGCTGGAAAAACATGAGGGTGAGTGGCAAACCAAGGTGTATTGCCCCGAGAATGTTTATAGATTCAAGTATTTTCACTCCTGTAAAAATTTGCCTGAACTCTAAAGGGCAGGTTATGTAAACTGGTATCACTTGAAACTTAGCCTCAAACCAACATCCAGAGCAAAGCCCCAGTCCTGGGACTGTCTGCATCGTAACATCAACGTCTGCCATGAAGATGAGGAAGAACTGCTGTAATCAAAATAGATCTCTGAAGTCTTTGGCCATCTCTGTGGGGCATTCGGGTGCCTTTGTTTTTAGGTCTGCAGGTATGGTTTTGCTCTTTGCAGTCCTTCCTTCAAGAACTGGAGGTAAGTTGCAGTAGAAGGGTCTTCAAAATTGGTTGAGAAACTAAAGATGCTACTTTCAACATCTTCAGGCTTCATAGAAGTAATGTCCAGGAAGTAGTTGGCATTGATATGGTGAACCTGGGAAAGAAAACAGACGAGGAGAGGAGACTTTAAAGGCCAGAACAATTCCCCAAGCATGGCCTTGGGCCTCTAGCCAGGACAGAGGTGACAAGACTGTAACAACTCTTAAAAGAATCTCTAATACTTTGCAAATGCTAATTCAGCATCCAGGATTCAGGTTTGCATTTTACAGTCAGAGAAAGATGTGTGAAAGACAACGGTCTGTTTCTTCCCCCAAGAGTGCTGACCCCTCACTTAGGTTAAGAAGATGATGAAGGCGATCCGGGAAAAATCATGCAGGCATAAAACCTAGCTCTGAGCAAGGGCTGGGGAGATGGCAGCCCCACCACGCTGACTGCTGGGGTGTGTGCTCTCAGCCCAGCCCAGCTGCAAAACCAGCACCTGAGCTTCAAATGCCTCCGTGCTTTCTGCTCCCCCATGGAGGTGGGAAAGGGGGACATGTGGCCACTGACCACAGCAACCTCGACAGGCTGTTACTTACTGAGCTGAAGCCACCCACCAGCCCACAGCCTCATCTGGAGGGGAAGCCACTAAAGAGACAGCAAGGAGTCACTGCACACGTTACTAGCTAATATCTGGCAAGCGTGGGGCACAATCAGATTAGCCCTGGCAGGATCGTCCACTACAGACAGCCCGGCCGCTGACACACAGCAAAGCGCCGCACTGCCGAGTGCCAGGAACCACTGTGGTTCTTCAAATCCAAGGCGGGGGGGGGTTGTTGGGGGGAACAGCAGAGCCAAAGCGTGTGGACTTGCTAATGGCTGATCTGCTGTGACAAACTTGGGGAATCAAGAGAAAGACAAATGTACCAGAAGGTGCTGATAAGGAGAGATTTTCTCCAAAGCATGAGCGCAAGGGCCAATGGGTGCAGGAAACAAGCTACAATGGCTTCCCAAAGGTCACTGACTCCAACCTCCAATGAGGCAGACATTTGGTTCAAGTCTGATTGTTTCCCCCCCTGCCCAGAGCTGCTGTTTGTTCTGTCTCTGAATAAAAAGACGTCTACAATGGGCTTCCCAAAGGTCACTGACTCCAACCAGGGATAATGAGGCAGACATTTGGTTCAAGTCTGATTGTTTCCCCCCCTGCCCAGAGCTGCTGTTTGTTCTGTCTCTGAATAAAAAGACGTTTGTTTCAGGTTTCTTGGCAGAGCTGCTGTCTGTCTGCCACAGCATGCCTGAGAGCACAGCACCGTGAGGGACGACGGCCCCACAAAGGCTTGAGGAGCCAGGGAATGGCTGGGGGAGTGGACACTCGCTTCAGAGTCTGCAGATGATCCTGAAGAGAACACGTTCTAATGGGAAGAGCCAAGCCCAGGTGAAGGGGTAACAAACGTACCACCGTGCCATTGGGGAGGCAGATGATCATCTCCACGGGGAAGTTGTATTTCTCCAGGTGCAGGTCAGCCAGCTTGCTGTAGAACTCATTCTCTCTGTTGGTCTGTAAGGAGACCCCAAAGAAACATGTTTGCACACACCAAAACTAGCAGAGCGGCGCAGGAGAAGTACACCGAACACAGGAGGAAGGGAAGGACCGAAGAGCTGCTTTGCAGCATGGTGGTAACTGGTTCCATTCTCACAACCTGCTTTACTATTCCCTTTCAGTCAGTCTCCCTCTCACATTTCAGCTGTAGATTTTCTCCCCAAATCATAAAATCACCCCATCACTGGCAGTTCCCAGGCACACCAACAGTCTGATCCCAGCTTTTCCCAGAGTCTCCAGCTCCGTGACTGACTCCAGCTGACAGCACAGGCCCAGGGACAGGCTCGTAAGTGGGGAAAGGTGCAGTCAGGAGACTCAGGGTTTGGACAGTATTTGGTTGCTCCCTGGGTTACAGAGAAGTCAGTTTGTTGATGGCATAAATGGCCTTGGGCAGGGCTATCTCACAGTGAAGCATCTGGTTTAGCTTTTAAAATTGGTACCATGACAGAGCGAAGGGGGTCACTGTGCCATTTTCTTAGCCTGCCTCCATCCGGTGTTTGCTTGGCCCCTGCAATCGCTAGGACACAGAGGGCTTGGAACTGAAATCCCCCCCTGGCACAGGTGTGAGCTCTCCCTTCCTGCTGGCACCCCCGTGCCAAGCACCGTCTGCGTTCACCAGCACCGAACGCAAAGAAGGCAGATGTGGCTGTGACACTCACCTGCAGCTCTTCCAGCTCCTTCACCAGCGACCAGCTGCTGATGAAGCTCTCGTTCAGCAGGGTGAGGATGGGCGAACTTTCCAGGACGGTCTCCCGGAGAGTTCGCCCTGAACCTGGCATAGGAAGAGAGGCAGACAGTAGTTTGTTGTGTTTCCTGAGCTGACTGTTGCCATGTTTGATGCCACCGCGATGCCACCGCTCCGATTGCCGGGGCAGCTGGCTCGGGTTCCCCCCAGCCTGGCCCATTGTCTTTTTTTTCTCCTTTGTTGGCAGTTTTCCACAGCTTATTGTTTCCCATGTGTGCTGCTGGCAGAGAAGACTCACCAGAGCAGACCCCAGCCACTTGCAAGGCCAGAGAAGGATCAGGACAAGCTTGCCATGGATGCTGACTGGTGCGGTGCATTTAGGAAAGGATCAGGCCCTGCGGATCCTTGAGTAGATCCTTGCTGTTCATGCCAAGCAGAGCCCATACATGCTGGAGAGTTTTTAAGGGCAGATAGGACTAAAGATATCTGCCCCTCTCCCACCCATCACTCCTGCTCCATGTGGCATGCAAGTTCTTAGGCGTGGGGGGGGAAACGGCTACACATCAGGACAAACCCAGGCCCATATCTGGCTCTGGCTTCTCCTGTGCAGGTATCAGGGACAAAGCAGAGAGCAGTGTCCCCTTCACCCTGCAGATGCTGCCTCTACCCAAGCAGACTGAGAGGGAAAGAGAAAAGAGAAAGACCAGACCCATGCCTCCACCTCGACAAAGGCACTTGAATTAGCGAGTTGGTCTAGGGCTTGTCTCAAATAGATCTGATCCTGCCACTGGGGACCTAAGCTCTGATCAGTAATTCCCCACTTCCAGCCCTTTTCTATTCAGCATCTTCAGTGCCAAAATGAGTAACACAACAGTTACCGCTGGCTCATGACCAGCTCCCTGACCCCCAGCTCTTCTCAGAGCCTGAACGCTGCTGGGGCAGTCCAATTCCTCAATCATTCCTCCAGCCACGCTGGGAATGTCCAGGCACATCATTCCTCCAGCCACGCTGGGAATGTCCTCACCTCAGCAGGACTGGTCGTCCAGGGCACCCCACAGCAGGATCGAGTGTACCAGCTTCTTTTCTGCTTTTGCTCTCTCGAAAGCTTGTGTGAAGGGAAGATAGGAGACCTGGAGGCAGAGAGACAGCTTGAGAAATAGATACAGAACAGCCCATCTGAAATACGAGCAGGATCTGAAGGAACCAGACCTGCCACATCCCACAGGTGACGCAGACAGAGTTTAAAGCAAATGACAACTGTGGTGCAATCCCCAGGGACAACTTCATCTGCCGGTGAGATTGTAGTGAGCCCCTCACAGCATGTGGGCTGTTGCCGGCACCTGCAGAGCCCCGTCTTTACACACTGCAGAGAGCATCTGCGCAACTGCAGGCAGGCTGTCTGCAAACACACCTCAGCAGCCTGGGAAATCTGGCCTTGTGATATTTATTACAAAACCTCACTGAAACGGCCTAAAAACTGACTGTGAGGGACCCTGCACAGAGATTGTTCCATTTGCTCAAATGAAGGGAACTTTATTAACATCTTGGCAGCTCAAAGGGACATTTGTAAGCTCAGGCACAAGGAGGCAGCCATTGAAACGTGTCCCTTCAGCCAAGGAAGCAGTGACAGGCAGTAGCCATCTGCTCCACAGGCTACTGGCATGTTAAATAGTTTGGGTCACCCAATGCTATAAATTTGTGTCTCACTGCAGGATGCAGAGGCACAGGCAGATTGTGTGTTTTCTGCTGATAAGGAAAGCTTGGTCCAAAGGTAGCTGAACGTTGCAAAAGTAACGCCAGAGGAAAACCATTTGTAAGCAGCGCGATTACCTGCCTCTCTCAGAAATCACGTCAGCAGCTACTGATAAGAGGAAGGATGGATGAGCCTACATTTACAATACAAACCTGGGACACATGACATCTAGGCTTTGCTCCTGCCTGTGCTGCTGTGTGACCCCAAATGGCCTTTAGGAGATGCTGTACTCCCTCATCTGGAAACTGAAAGTCCATCAAGCCACACACGCAGTGCCTGGGAGGCACACGTTGAGCTGGGAGACCCTCACACTACTCTGAATGCTGATCAGGTTGTGGCCTCTGGTTTCTGCTGGTCCTCAAGGTGACTGGACATCTCAGTGAAGATGACCCACCCCAAATAAACGTGCCAAGGAAGAGCCCGGCCCCTTCCTCACCTTCTTAAATGGATACATGGCCACTTCCAGCTTCTGGGCTGCCTCTTCCCAGGGGATTTCCTGCTGCCAGGTTATCTCTTCGAACACAAACTGAATGGGCTCCCCTGAGGGATCCCTGCTGTCAATCACATTTCCGTTCTCGTCATGGATCACAGAGGGGATTGAAGGCCCCGTCGATTCCAGCTCCATCTGCAGAAGAACAGGCTGAGTTGGACACTGCAGACATCCTACGCCTGGTTTTTCTGTACTCCAGGACAGGATAAAGATGCAAAATAAGACTGGGCAGCTTCTAATGAAGATACAGCTTGATCTATTGTCTCCTGGAGCTGCACTTTACCATTTGCAGCTGTGTTTTATTGGGGAATAGCAGGAAAGCAACTTCATTTCCTTCAGTTATTGTCTGACTGTGCTTGCTAGATTGGAAATGCATGAGACCTGTTCACTCCATGTTCCCACCTTCCCAGTGGAGATTTTTTGACTGTGGGACACCAGATCCTTAAAATCAGTGGAACCTGCAGGGCTAGTTTGAAGCTCTTGCTCATATCAGCAGCACAGCCCCTACACAGCCCGTGACTAGCCACAAGAGGGTGCAACAGGGAAAGCTGTTCAGGAGCTTCCCTGTAGTTCAGCGTTCTGGTACATCTGAAATTATTTTGTAAGTCTCTTTTCCTGCCTTTTGGCAATTAAAAAGAAACATGGATCTAGTTTAGGAGAAAATGGGACTGTTAAATTCAGGCATTCAAAATCCTGACTTATGTTTCTTGTCCCAAGAACTGGGATTACCACAAAATAGAGGAATAACCTCATGCAATTTCTAAATTCAGACACACTGTTGTTCATACACCCCTCTGGGCTCAGGGCCTGGGTTCAACTCCTAATCTTCCCCTCCCACCTGTCAGACAACTTTTTAAAAATGGAAAAAGTCACATGACTCCAGGAGCTTAGGATTCAACCCACACAGAAGGAAAAAATAAAACATCACAAGAACCGGCAATAGGGAGCCACAGAGCTGCGGAGGACTGACACAGATCAACAGAGATTATATTGTTATACTGAAACGTTCAAGAGAAAGCTCTAAAGAACAGGGATAACTGAGGTTATACAGCTTAGGGGCATGGCAGCATAAATCCCTGCTGAGATGCTGCACGCACACCGGAGGACTGAGAGTGACTACAGACCTGAGGCAGGTAACCGATATCCACTTCCATGTTGCTGCTTTCACTCGCCCCATACAGCCACTCCATATCAACATTCAGAGACCTGCAAGGTGAACCCGCTATGTTCAGAGACATCCAAGGCTAAAGATGTGTATGGGAAACCCCAAACAAATGAGATCATCCAACGCTCCTCCTGCAGGGTCAGCACTGAAGCCCAGAGCCTCTGGCTCCTTGGAGATCACCGTGTTCCTTGCACGAGACTAGCAACACTAGATCCCTGCTGGACCAGGGCCCAGGCACCCACCCAACACTCTGGGCAAATGCGCTCACACCTTTGAGTACTGTCAAAGTAAGGAAGAGAGAGGTGTCTTTGCTCCCCCTTCCCTCCCAGAACCTAACTTGCACATTCTGATCCTGCTGAACTTTTAAAAGTGCTTTTTGGAAGCAAAAGGCTTTTGTAAGGAGTTGCTGGCAGAGCCGTTAAGTGTCTGCTTGCTGTAACAAATGTGCTGACAGAGCCATAGAGATTGAGTCGCCAGGGTAATGTTATAATAGAATTTTCACTCCAGCCGTCATGGGCAAAGAGATTTGAAGCTTCTTTCCCCTGAAACGCTTCCAGCTGCTTGCCAGAGAACAGGAATGAGCTAGTGTGAAGCTATGCACACAAAACCTTAACCTGCGAAACACCAAGCAAAAAGTATGTTGAAGCAAGAGCATCAGGCTTTGCTGAACTTCAGTGCTTTGAGCCAGGCACTGGGATTGCCAAGGGCTGCCTCTCCACACCCTGCCCGTCTCTCCCCATCCTCCAAGTACCAAAGGACAGTTACTGGTGAATCAGACCCTGAAACACGTCGGGGATCCTCAGTGACTATAGTAGAGATGCATTTGCCAGTTTTACAGGCAACTGCAGAGCTCAATTCACTCAGATTTTCCAGGGACTTGGCTGAAAAGCATGAGCTCATCCATCACAGACACCCGAGGAGCCTTCTGCAGCTTGCAACAGGTATCTGACATCTGCAAGAGACCCTGCCACAGCCAGGGACTGCTGGGACAGGTCAAGGGGAGCAGTGCTTGCAGCAGTGCTGCTAACGAAGAAGCTGATGCCTGTCTCTAGGGCAATATCAGGACAACTTAAATTCCCCACCCCTGTGTGTCTTCCCATGTGCTGCAGGTACCTCCCTTACAGTGGTTTGGCACAGGACAGCTCAGGCTTGGACGCTCAGCTGAAGCACGTGCCAGCTGCAGCCAGGCTGTGCAAGGACATCCATCCCCAATGCCATGCTCCATGTCCCCAGCAACCTCTGCCCTGCTTCTCCCCTGTGCCTCCTCTGCCCTTGTCCTTCCCTGCCTCTTCCAAGCCAGATGCCCCCCAGACCTGTTGATAAACAGAACTATTCCTGAAAAATTGCATCAGAACCAGTTTAGGGTGCAACTGTATCTACAGAATTGAGGACATGATGACCATGATGACCGCTGGCAGAGAAGGATGTGTGGGGAAAACAGATAAGCAAGCAGCAGAACTAGCCTGCCCAAAGCTCAGACTGCAGATCTGCCTTCCCTGCACGGGCCAGGATGCTCACATACCGCAAGGGACAGAGCTGTCACCGCACTCCTATCTTCATAAAAAAAGAGCCCACCAGCCTCCCCCCGCGCACGGCCCCCACTCCTGCACAGGACAGGATCCCAGAGCCCCTGGGTTCCACTGGGCCTCATTTATAACAATCCTCAAGTCTGTTCAGCACCCAGGAAGAGAGAGAAACAGCTGTACCTGTTGTTAGGGACAAAGAGCTTAAACTCTCGGACATGGGACGAATCCTTGGAGAGGATGATGTGACCTGTGAACTGGCCTGGGGAAAACCAGAAGGGGAAATCTGGTGGCTCATTCAGCTGAAACTCAGCGTGGATCCTGAAACGAGAAAGGAGCCATCAGCTGCAGTGCCGGGAGGAGAGAATGGATCAAGCACTCCAGATGACAGCAGGGAGAAGTGAACTCCAGGTGCCAGAAATTATGAAGCTAAACTGGGGCAGAGGTTCAGTTCAAAAAGCTTTTCATGTCACGCAAAGAAGAGGGTAAAAGACGGGAGCAGATCCCCTGGCTCAGGATCATCTCCAGTATCGATGCCTTTTGGAACTGGGCAGTAAGTGTCCATCCAGGAAGGATGAATTACATTATCATTCCTTGAAACACAGGAACAGACTAAGACCCCTTCAGCCTCCCTTCCAGCTTGATCGGGCAAATAAAAGCTGTGTGTAACACTCCTAGTAAAACAAGAGAACAATTCCCCAGACTCTCCCCCTTGGAAAGGCACTCCACTCCCTGATTAAACAACATCTAACAAATTCCTTGCTAATCAGACTCTACCCTTTCAGCCAGGGATAGTTCCAAACCAAGGGTGATGGAGGAAGGCTGCTGTCCTGGATCCGGGCAACAGTCCCTGCCTCACCAGGGCCTCAGTGACACTGGGAGCACGGGTGCCCTCTTCGGGCATCAGCAAAGCATCACACACAGGCAAGAGCTGGCTGTGAACCACCCTTTTCCTCAAACTGCTTTGCCTCCCTCCCAGACAGGACACATCTGGTCTTGCTTGGGAACACGACTGCACATGCAATGACACGCGCACTCTCTGCCATGGGCTCACAGCAGCCTTCTCCACTCCTCTGAGATATGGAACAAATTCAAAAGTGCCCCCAAACCCTCCTCTAACACCCCAGACCCATGGCCTTACCTGAACGCTATGGTGTAGTAGAAGGTGCTGATGGCTTGGATGCAGGCCACAGCTCCTTGGGGAGCAAAGCGGGTTTTTACGAAAGGACGTGGGTGGAACATGCTCAAAAGCCTGTGGATTATGATCTAGAGAAAGAATTGTAAGAGAGCAAAAATGAGAACAGTTCCTCCACTGCAGGTCAGCTGCAGCTCCAAAGTAACTTCTCCACCAGATCAGGAAGACAGGAGAACTGCTGTGACTTAAAAATTAGCTCAGAGACCTACCTAATCACAAAACAAGGAGCTAAAGCAAGAGACTGCTTTTAAAAATAAACCCATCTTCCACGCTTTTTATGCTATTCCCATTGTTTGCAAGTTTCCATCATCCCAGTCGGTTGAATGTCTGAGTATGGTAAACTGATCTACGAGGCTGCCTCCGTCAATACTACTTAAGACTTTGAAAGAGTGGGTATGCAATCAATAAACACACCAGGCTGAGAAGGTGTATCAACTATGTGATCACCAACACCTACCCGGGCATGCCGGGGGAGAGCGATATACACGCCTGGCTTTACAAACTATGTATACACATCGTTTCACTTGTCAATGAAACGCTCACCTCTGGGGTGGCACTCGGCAACTGTTCCACAGGGCATGATCACTTCATACAAGTGCTTTCTGAATAACCCTCTCCCCTCCTTGTCCTGGAAAGACCAGCCTAAAAACCCAAACACTTAAACGAAGCAAGATGAAGTTACTCAAGTCAGCCTCATCTGGCCATGACACACACCCAGAGCCTTTGCCTCCTCTGCTTTACCTCCAGTTTAGAAGACTCTGCTCCTGGCTGTACACTGCATTTTTGCACCCTTAGAAAGTCCAGGGAGACATAATGCAACAGCTTTGTCCACTCCAGGGGCTCCTGTGATTCATCTGGGCTATAAGGCAGAACATTTATACAAATTACCTCTCAGGTATATAGAAATTAAGTTTCATATCTCACCTCTTTGCCCTTGGGAGGCGGAGGGTAAAATCTGTTGTTGGAAAGATACCCAGTGAAGATGTTCAATTCACTAGGAATTATCCACCACGGATCCCCGAGATCCACTTTATTCTTTGGAGGAAGAAAGGCTTTAAACTGTCTGGCAAGCATCACGCTCATAGGGGCTGCTGGGGCAGTCCAATTCCTCAACCCAGACAGAGCGACATGAGAAATCTGTGAACAAAAGACACTATCAGAGCCTAGACTGGACTCTTCAAACGTGCAGTAACGCTGATGGATGTAAGCAGGCTTTGGAGAAGGGGAAAAAAATATATCACATTTTAAATTCTTCCTACCACCCCAAACACCACCAAATAGTTCCGTCAACTTTCAATTACGTGAGTAATAGGAAATGGGAGAGAGGGGAACATACCACATAACACCACTGCTTTTGGACATAGCTCCAGGAGAGCCATCTCTAATGTTTGCTTCAAGCTTCCCAGGAAGGGCGTATTAATTGGGGCACAGTGCTGCTGAGTGCTCTGAAAACAATGAAACGCTGCAGAAAGCAGTGAGCTTGCTCGTCAAAGCAAATCCCACGGGCCTGAGCAAGACCATCTCCCCCTCCCAACATGCTAGCACTTTTTCCAGCTGATGTTACCAGCCCACAGGACGTGTTTATACCAGAATTTCTGGCCATACACGTCCTGCGTGATACCTACTCCCAAGAAACCGTCTTTGCTCTTCGTCATCGTTTCCATGACCAAAGGCTGGAATTTAGCCACAACGGACAATGTCTCCCCACTTGGATCAGGCGTCTCCTCCTCCTCTTCAAATTCTGAGATGGGAGCAACCCCTAGACAAAGGGACAGGAATTTAAGCAGCTGTTTCCCCTCCCTCCCCTTTTAAGCAATTGTGAAGTGATTACACATTTATCCTGGCAAATCCAGGAGCACTGGGAGCTTCCCAGCTGTCCCTACACTGTATGCAGCGGCAGAACTCAGGCCCACCCCAGAGACCAGCTTCAGCTGCATGAATTAAAGGGGAGCCCTCCCTTTAGCGGACGAGTCTCTAAACCCCCTGGCTCAGTTAAGCAGTCTCATTTCACCTAGGAGGGATCAGAACACACGCTTTAGCCAATTCATTACAGCATAAGCAAACAACTGTCTGTATTTCGACTGTGCTGTAAGCTCTCCTCTACATTATCATCACCACACTTCTTCCTGCTTGGCACCACCAAGAGACATTTGCCACACGCTGATACAGTCTCCAAACATGATCTCTTACAATTGCTATCTGAGAGAGACTGCTACAGCTGGAGGAGCGTACTGCACTCACTAATAGTTTTGGCCTAGCCTGGGCTGAGCTGTATTTGTTGCATTCACCCATCCCAAATCCCCTTTAAGCTCTAGACAAAGCAACTTATGTACTTTGCTAGTCCAGCAATGGGATCTTCAGTCTTATAAAAACTCTACTTTCTGAAAGTGATGTCTAGTGCTTAAGCCTTTTCAAAAACATGTAAAGCTTAGCAGCCTCTCTTCATGTAAATAAGACCCAAAACAGCACCCAGAAAAAAATAAAAGACGAATAAAAACTGTCGAGTGCATTATCTTTGGCTTTTGCTCAGTCTGTGCAGAGAGAGCTCTGCAAGGTAGACAGATACCTACCCGTCAGCTTCTCAGCTATCGGCTTGAACTCTTCCGGACTGAGGTACAGATCGTTGTTTGTGTCCAGAGAAGAAAAGAGAAACAGCCCCTCACTTCCCAAAGACTTCAGTGCCAGCTCCTAGTTTGGGAAGAAGAGGCAAGTGAGATTTCATTCCAACCTCTTGCAGAAATTCACTCCGGCCCCTCTCAGCTTCAGAGTTAATTTGCATTCTTTCCAGCACACAAACACAGCCGTCAAATTGAAAGATTAACGCCCCTTGGCAGGATTTTGTGCTATTTACAATAGGGATCGGTGTCCAGGAACTGTTGGCATGAGCATATTAAAACTACATCTGGTTGAGTAATTCAAACTGAATAATTTGCTCAGTCGGCCTCAAAGTCTTTTGTCAGAAAAATTTCCAACTTTTTCCAAATAGTCCTAAACCTGCAGATATTCAGAGCACCTGGAGATCGTGGTTTCTGTAATTAACTGATGCGCAGTGAAACAAAGGCAGTCAAATACATGACTATCCACATTACAAAACCACAAAGGAAATGAACTAAGCCCTTGTAACTCTGTAGAAAGCAACTTAACTTAAACCCGTGCTGAGATCCATGCCAGCATTACCACGCACAAGTGCCCCGCTCTAGTCAGATTCCCCTCCAGGTCTCCAGCCTCAGGACTGGACGGAGCATTTTGGTCCCTTGCTCCGCAGGGAGCACTGCCTACCCATTCAGCCGTACATTGGAGACCCACAAATCCCATGGTCTTCTCCAGAAATTTCTGCCAGATCCCAGCCACCCCGTGCCTCAGTTTCTCCCTCTGCAAAGCCCACATGGAGATCATCCAGTGGAAACCACCACTGAAACACAATGTCTCCCCTGGAGCAGCCCCAGAAAGGCTCTGGATTCTTCTAGTCATTTCCACTCCGCAGCACTTGGCACAGAAGGGAAAGGGACAACTTGCAGGCAGAACAAGAGAGCTCCACGTTGGTGTGAGAGGAACAGAGAGCCATAGCAAATCAAGCCCCATCACTGCCAGCCAGCCTGCAGCACATCCCCTGTGACCCATCATTTGGGGCAGCTTCCCCTGCCACCCCTGTAAAAGCCTAAAGCTGCAACGATAAATACTCCGTACTCTGCTGTTTAACCATGTTTATTCTCTATTGCCTGCAGCACCATTACCATCCCCAGAGCTCCTGAACTAGTTTATTTTCCATCTGTTGCCTGCCAGCCTGAAGCAGCACTAATGCAGCCTGGAAGGCTTTGCTCCCATCAACTGCAGCAACAAAAGCACTTAAGAGCCTTCCAGGGCAGTTTCAGGACTGAGACAGACAGAAATAAAGACCCTGGAAGACAAACCAGAGATCTGGACGCAGACATGGCTGAGGAAAGAGAAGGGAGGGGAGCGCGCAGGAACTACACAGCTGAAAAAAGGAATGAAGGAACAAGATGGTTATTTATCTGCGCTCAGGAACAATCCACTCCAGACTGTCCGTGTTCCTGGGGCCAAAACTGTGCCTTTGTTCCCCAAATGAATGGGGACGCACATCCTTGGCCCTGTAAATAGGTAACGACATTTTCCTGAGCAACTGCCCTGTTCTCTGACAGCCAGGTGACAGGGTCATGTCATGAAGCCTTGGGCCAGGCTTCAGTACCCCTCTCGGCTCTAGATCTTGCCTGTGCACAGCACGTAATGCATTAACCTTGTAAGGGCCCGTGTGATCGCTCACTGTCTGGGAGCCAGCTCACAGCACAGGGAAGCGTGCAGGGAGCGCACGATGGTTTCCTCCTCCGCAGAGGAGGCTGTCCTGGATGCGTACTGAGCTCTGAAGAGACGGTCCATTTTCTAGTCCTCTCCACAGCACATCAGCGATTCCCTGCTGATGAATCTGTTAGAGTCTCTCTTCTTTTTGCACTTCACAGACATGGACCTCAAGGGATGGGAGGCAAATGAGCGACAAAGTTTTTAGTTGGTTAGACCGCCTGCTGCTGTACTATTAGGAAAAAGTCATGATCATTTACTTAACAGGGCTGAAGGCAGAAAGAGAACCAGTTACACCCCACACATACAGAGGAACATCTCTGACTGTGTCAGCAGAACGTGAAGGGGGGGAATATGGGTGGCTAGTGTTGCACGTTAGCATCCAAAAATCAATCTAAATTGAGAGCATGCTCCCATCCCCACAGCCTGCACTTTCACATAGATTAAGCAATGAAAAACCATCAGCTGCAGAACCATCAGACAATTATTCCTACATCCGCAAGTGGCCAGAAATACGGTAACTTTGCGGTCAGGCGACTTACGTGTGTGCACACACCTCACGCGCGTGACAGCAGCTGGCTGAACGCGGCCTCCCTGCTAATAGGATCAGTACCGGGCTCCTGCCTGCTCCAGACCACGCTGCCCTCCCCAGAGCTAGTTAAAACAGCCACTTCTCCGGCAAAGGCGCACTCCAGGCAGTACTGGCACAGCGCAGTCAGTTCTGCACAGCCCTGCAGGACAGATCGCCCCCTTCGAAAACATTCATCTCTACACTCACAAAGCACGGCAGCTCAGCGGCAGCATCGCACCAGCCCCTCCGCACAGCCTCACCCGCACCGGGACCGCAGGGACCCACCCGGCCGGAGGTAAGACCCCAACCACGGAGGAACAAAGACTTCCGCAGAGCACGCACTAGTCCTGCTGCACTCAGGCAAAAGGGATGATAAAAATTATGTTTAAAAGGGGAGAGAGATGTCAGGGCTTGGCCTTTTGCTTTCTGACAACATTCACGTTAAAGAAAGCTCTCCAGAGCTTGTGGGTTTTTTCTTTTTTCTTTCTAATCCGGGATTATAAGAAATAAAAAGTTTCCCTGCTTGTGCCAGAGGAGTTAAGACTGAGCTTTTCCAGTCTTTTTGTAGAGGAGGAGAGTTGTGGTTTTCACAAAGAGTTTTCTTCTCCCACCTGCTTGTGGGTTGTTTAGCTAAATAAACATTTTCATAGAAAGAGACAAGACATATGTTTTAAGCAAGATGAAGGAAAAATAAAAACCTTGGGCTGTTCACATTTTGTTCTCCGCTCCAGCAGTGCCCAGTCACAGCCGTCTGCCTGTCCTCTAGGAAAAACAAAACCTCCAGAAGGCCTGGCTTTTTGTCAGGCAGGGCTGCGGTCCGCTCAGCCAGCCGGTGAAGGACTGTCCTGACCCTTCTGTCCCTGTCGGAAGAATTCTCCTAATTAACTGGTTTGAGCCATTTTCCCCTTTTTGCAATGCAAGAAGGGACAAAAAAAAGAGGCATCCTTTAAAACCACTTGTCTTTTTACTATAGAAATATCAAGAATGGGAAGTCTGCTCTTTTCCGTGAACCTTTTTAGGTGTTCAGGGATGCACACCAAAGAGCCAGGGGAGTACGATCTTTAACAAAGGTACGCTTTCTCCAAAGCACGCAGCAGTCATTTGAATTATGTGGATTACAATCAAAACCAATGTCAATCAGCCTAATTAAAAAAAAAAACCCACAACAAAACCCCTAAAAAAACCCCTTCCCGTTTTTCAGCTCATGTCCTCCATTCTTTTGCTGCTTCCACAGTCAGAGTCGCTCAGGGCACACAGGACCTGCATTTCTCATCTGAAAAAAAACCCACCACCATCTGAGAGTTTTGGGCCTTTTTCCCAGGGAATAAAGCAGGAAGGAAAGACACCTTCAGAGGCCACATCGAGAGGAGCTGTGAACCGTTATGCCAAGAGCAGGGCTGGGGTCTGGCGCTCCCACTCTCCCTCCATCTTCTGGTGGGAGCAGCTGGCCTCAAATGCACGGTCACTGCTGGTGCCTGGCAGTCACCACAGCTCTGTGGTTGTTTCAGCCTGGTGGTGGCCACCACAATCCCTGTGGCCACTTGAAGCCCGGTGGCCACCACAGCTCTACAAAACCTCAGCCTGGCAGTGGCTACCTCAAGCCCATAGCCACTGGTGTGTGATGAGTACCACAGCTCAATGGTCACCTCAGCCTGGCGGTGCCCACCTCAAGCTCCACGGCCACTGATGTCTGGTTGTCCCCACAGCCTTGGCAGTGGCTGCCACAGCTTCATGCTCCCCATAGCCTGGCAGTGGCCAGCTCAAGCTCCACAGCTGCTGATACCTGGTTGTCCCTGCAGCCTAGCTAGTGACTACCATGGCTTCGCAGTCACCACAGCCCGGCGGTGGCTACCTCAACCCTGGCAGCCACCTCAAGACTGCAGCCACCAATGCCCCATGGCCACCACAACCCAGTGGCAGCCACCTCAGCTCTGTGGTCCCCTCAGCCTGGTGACAGCCACCTCAAGCCTGGTGGCCACCTCAACCAAGTAGCCACTGATGTGTGGTGATCACCTCAGCGTGGCAGCAGCCACCTCAGGCCTGATGGCCACCTCAACCCCAGTGGCCACCTATGTGTGGCGGTCCCCTCAGCCCAGCAGTGGCCACCTCAACCCCTGTGCCCACCAATGTCTGGTGATCCCCTCACAGCAGCCACCAGGCCTGATGGCCACCTCAACCCCAGTGGCCACCTATGTGTGGCGGTCCCCTCAGCCCAGCAGTGGCCCCCCGCTGGCCACCTCAGCCAGCAGCCAGCAGC